AATTAAAATATTTTTAATTAATCAATAAAAAATTATTTAAAATATTTAAATAATTTTATAAAAAAATCTTAACATTCAAAGTGTTATGCGATCATAATTTTCATTTTCTTTAAAAATAATAATGACATTAGAAATTTATTTCCCAAAACAGTCCTAATTCTTTTAATTATTTCAAATTAGGATCCTACACTTCCAATTTTGCTTCTCTCCCCAAAGTTTAGTTTAACAATATGGGCGGTAATATATGACCAATTTTTTTATAGTACCTTTTTATACAACCTTTATATATTGTTAAATAAATAAATACATTCAATATCACATATCTCAAATGAATAAAAAGAGTTAATTATTCAAATAATATGTATAATTATATAGAAAATAATAATAAAAGCTATCCCTAAATCATTTTCCTTACAATATTGTCCCTTCAAGGAAGGTCGACCAACACACATCAGCTTCGCCTCAAAAGATGACAACAACATAGTTGGGCCATATAAACGACAAAAAGGATATATTAATCTATGTACTCTTTGAATTACTTGAAATTCACCTAACAATTTTTTTGAAATGTTTTAATCCTTAAACTTTAATATTGAAATAAATCAATTCACATACTTTTTGACTAAAATAAATCAATCCAAACTTAATAGATGATGTCATGCCACATCACGTTTCTGTGAAATCCATTTCAAGTTCATTATGTTATAAAATAAATCAATCCACTTTTCATTTTACTTGAAGTCTACCTCTCTACCTTTTTTTAAAAAATTTTAACCCACCTATTTTTTAATTAAAATAAATCAACCCAAACTTTTATAAAATCTATTTTAAACCCATTACGTCTTGATGATTTAGCACACATGGGTCTAATTTTTTGTGATATGAATTACTTTTAATCCCACATGAGTGCCTATTGATAGCAATAAAAATGCATTCTTTCAATCTCTTTATTTAATGATAAAAATACCCTTCTTTCCTCTATTTTTAAATTGGGAATTGGGGACTTAGAGTTTCAAGTTTGGCTATACTTTCCTAATCGCATCTTCTTCTTCTCATTCACAATCATTTTAACTAAATAACAACTCTGAGGGATGTCAAGTACATGAATTACTCACTTCAAAATTGACACAGCTTTGTCAAACCTCTTCAAGCTGTAGTAAATCGCAATAAGTATATGTAATCTCACAACGAGATCTAAGTTGGGTTAAGCTTCAATTTGGCACCTCTTAAAGGATTTGGTGGTCCAAATGGCATAATCTAGAGCTTTAGTGGGACTCTCACCAAATATAATGGTACCTAGTTTTCAGGATTTTAAAGAAGGTAATTTAGGGCTTACAAAAACAGCAACATGGATGATTAAACCAAACCCTAGGTCCTAAAAAATGATCGTGAATGAGAATAGAAGGATGTTTTTATCATTAAATAAAGAGATTAAAAGAATATATTTTTATTGTCATATCATCAACCTATGTCCAACTAGATTAAAAATAATCCATTACATAAAAAATGGAACCCACAAGTGCTAAATTATCAAGACATAACAACCTTAAATGGATTTCATAAAAATGTAACATGGGATGATGTTATATATTAAATTTGAACTTATTTATTTTAATAGGAAAGTACATTAATTAATTGATTTATTTTAATATAAAAATACATGGGTTGAAAATTTTTTAAAAATAGTAAAAAGTTAAATTTTAAATAACTCATAAAGTACGTGAAATAATTTATTTCATAACTTAAAAATTTTGAAATAGATTAATTTATTTCATGCCCTTTAGTCATTCTATTGTGAGTAATTCATCAGACCAAATCCCTAATTTCTTTCCCATTGCTATAACTACACCATCTAATTCGCCTCTCTCCTCACAACCACCATCTCCTCCTCAAATTAACACTCGCCTCCATCACCTACAGTTGAAACATCCTGCCCCTTGTCCTCATTCGACCTCTCCTCCACCTCTAAGACATCATCTCATAATCAACCATCATCCTCAGACAACTCACCTCCATCATGCCCTAATGTCCACCCTACAATATCTACCTCACCTTCTCCTCCACCGATACCGCCACCCACCATAACACACCCCCTGATCACAGGGCTTTAGCAGCAGCTAGCTCTGAGGTTGTTTGGGTCTTCAATCTTCTTTATCAACTCATTGTCTATCAATACACACTACCTGTGCTCTATTGTGACAATCTCGGTGCTAACTATCTCAGTAGCAAGCATTCTCATATGAAACATATTGCTATTGACCTCCACTTTGTTCGTGACTTGGTGGATCAGAAAATTCTTCTCATTTCCCATATATCTTCTAAGGATCGACTAGCTGATCGACTTACTAAACCATTGTTAAGCAATCGTTTCTTTTCTTTGCAGTCCAAGATTAGAGTCACGGATGGTTCCTCTATCTTGCGGAGGCGTGTTAAGGAAAGAGTCATCTCATGAGCAATCTTCAATCTCCATTCATTTATTTCTATACACATGTAAATATTATTTATATCTTTTATTTCCTTCTAAAGTAGGGTTACTAGGACGCAAGGCATATGCTCCCTGTATATATTTGTACAGCACACAGCTCACTAAATCTATGAAAACTACTTCGGTAATATTCCCCCCTGTCTCTGTTTTAAGTTCTAATAGAGGATACGTTACGCCCTACCTGTAAGCTCCAGACGCAGCAGCAGTTCTTGAAACTGATCTTTGCTTTGGGTGCATTCGCTTCCAAATACACAGTATATAACCGAGCCAGTGTTGAACCTTGCTAGCAACTTTGTCCATTTTTTGTGACAAAGGTTGGTGTTTTTTATATCACTGGTCCAGAGGTGCACCGACTTCTTGTACTGGTCTTCAAGATATGTATTCCACACGTAAGGCCCTTTGATTTCCTGACATGTCCTGAACGCTAGTGTATTGCATTGGACCTGAACGCTAGTGTATTGCATTGGATGAAGCTGATATACAGGCGCGCACAGACTCTATGTCACTACCAAACTTCATAACCTTTCTTTTAGCGAAGGCTTGAGCCTCATGCGGCCAGAGCTTGATAGATGAGCCTGGTCGGAACCCCGTTGGGGCCTGCATGAGTTCACTTTCCAAACAGTTTGCTCTGTTAGCTCATCTAGCTGGAGATAAATTGTAACCTACTGACACCGGACTGACCGTGCAGTAATGAGCGGATTTGGTACCCAACTGGCTAGCCAACCTCATAATCCAGTGGGAGAAATCGAAGATCATATCAAGCTTCGGCTAAATTAGAAGAAGTTTTATTTCAGCTTCAGTTTGGCCCATGATAATCGGGATAAGGGAGTGTAAATGGAAAGGCACATCTGAAGTGGTTTCAGCGCCGGGCAAGAGGCCATCAACGTGGGGGCCGGTGATGGGGACGAAGGTGATGAGATCTGGATGACGGTTAAAGGGCGCTGCATCTTGGATTGTTTTTTGGTGGGGGCTCCAACCCTCAATTTACACCTTAAAACATTTTTGTTTTTCCCCATCAACACCTTTTAGATTTTAGAATTTAAAATTCATAAAATACCCAAAAGTTAACAAGTAACTCCTCTATTTGCATCCTGATTTGCACGTTCCCTTGTTATTAATTTTGAATTTTTTACAAGATTCAAATAATAAAGGGTATTGATTAAGAGTGAAAATTCTATAAGAAGAAAACCAATAATTTCTAGAGCTGCAAGTAGAGGATTTGACCTGGTGGGGTATGAGAAAGGAAATTCTGTAGCCTTTTCTGGATAGTTTCTTAGCTAAGTGAAGGAAAGAGATGATCAAGAGCAAGCATACACTATGTAATTTTGCCAAAAATGAAAAATGCTGACCAACCAAGAACAAACCAAGGTTAAATGGAGAGAAAGCACAGCCATGGCTTATTCAGAGATGAGGCAGAAGCGTGTTTTTCTTTTTTTTTTTTTTTTTTTTTTTTTTTGTATACAGGTTACAAATTAAACCGGAAATTCATGACTTGGTTAGAGCTAAATAAGCCTCCAGTCTAGATTGATTCGTTTGTTTGCTAATTTTATGCAATTGTTGCTATTGTTTGTTGCAGCCTGCTAGAAATATTAAGCAATTAAATTTCTTATGTTTATTTTTTCTCTATTTTTTTTATTTAATGATCCAGGACCCCACCCCTCCTAAACTTACTCCCAGGGAAACGAATTATTCCCCTCCCCTTCCCTTCCCTCGCTCAAAACAAACAAGCAATTAGAGGGAATGATCTCAACCACCGTGGCAAGCATCACTAGGGATTTTCAGTTACAAGATTCAAACCTAACCCTAAGATTCGTAACTCAAATCTCAAGATTCAAACCTAATACATCTAACTTATAGAAGTCAAGATTCAAACTTTAGATGCAAGTTATTTTAGATCTCAAGATTCAGACTTTAGATGCCAAATAACTCACAAATCACAAGCCTTATCCTCAGCCGTTTAGATATTGCCACTGCTTATATGAGCATAAATTATTAATTAAACATTAGCATTCAACTTCTACATGGATAATTGCTAATGATGCATGGATTATTAATTATATGAATAAATAATTTTTACAATCAGTTGTAATTTCATAAGAGTCATTGCAGACTTCTGTTATTTAAAAATACTAGGGTGTATGGCAACGAGCATTTATGCTTCAATTAAAATTTTAAAACAGATGGCGTTCAAAAAAAATTTTTAAAACAGATCAATCGCATTCTATGAGTGCTTAATTGAAGACCAAGAGTTTGCCTCTATCCAATTATATGCTATAGGGCTGAGGAAAGCATCCGGAATGCCGAAAGAGCTGACCAGGGCAAGTGCATGTGGTCGAAGTTCACTGCAAAGTTCAGTTACTTCTTTCCTCACAGCTGCCGCATTCTCAACAGATACGTAGCCATATCGTAGAAATGCAGCATCTTCTTCCAAACAAATCAAGGCGTACATGGATCTCACCAAACCCAAGACATTCTGCAGTTGAAAAAAATACACTCAAATACCAAGATATTGCATAAACAAGAAGAGAACTGCTGGAGCTATGGCATGAAACCTGCAAATGCACTACCAATGGAAGCAAAATGAAATACAAATGCAAATGAAAATGCAATGAAATGAGAACTGCTAAAAAATGCTGCATGACAGCACAGTGGCAGCAAAGTGACAGCAGCATGTAACTGCACATGGGCTTCAAGAAATAGCAGCAAACTTGTATATTTTAGTCAATGTTTTAGATATAAAAGTCATTGTATTAAGTAAAATTTAAAATATAATATTTTTGTGTGTAGTCTTCCTCTATAAAAAGGAAGAAATTGAATGATAATTGAGTGAGAAAGCATGGTTTCTCCTCTCTGGTTGGGTGAATGTCTGCACCCTTCCATATTTATGTTCTAAGTTATGTTCTTATTCTGAGTTCTCTTTTCCTAATCTCCTCCAAGTCCTATCCCCTTTTCTAAAAAATCTAAACAAGAACTGCAAATACGCAGTGAGTACAGTGACATTTGAAGCATACTTAAGATATTTTGTATTATAGACATGCTAGTTTTCCTAAAACAAAAAGTTCGTTTGCAAACTGCCATTGCAATTCCATCAAAGCCCTGCCACCCTCTTATAAGACCTATTGAAGTTGAAATCTGCCCTACATATACTCCAAATGTCCACTCATTCACCCTACCATCATGATCATGCAACTGCATGGTCATCAGAAGGTTCAAACTACAACATGATTCAAATGATACTGATAGATAATTATATCAGAAATATTCACCTTTAATGGACCATGAGATAATCTTGCTTCTGCCTCAATAAAGGTTTGGAATATTGCTCTGTCAGAGAAAGCTCTGCCCAAGTCTTCAGCAAGGTGAGAACTCTGGCATGGAAAAGTGAAACAACAGTTAGATAGATAGATAGAGAGAAGAATAGCAACTTGGCTAATAGAAGGAATATCTCACTCTCACCTTAATGAATGCATGCTCTTTACTTTCTCCCTTCACTACACATTGGGATACACCAGTGGCAAAATGATTCAAAAGATCTCTCTCTCTTAAGCAGAATGCATCCATCTGGAAAGGCAGTGATTGGTGATATTAGCAAATTAATACGTGACTAGTTCTAAATAGCAACTAGAGATGTTTTCTGGCCACCTGTTGCTTAAGCTGGCAACCTTCAATCATTGGGCTTTGCATTTTACCCAAAACTAGAGCTGCTCAAATCTATTACCTGAAATTGGCTGCATCTGAGGGTAGAGCTTGTGAGTTGTGATGGAATGACAGGGCAAGGCTTATTCATATGTCCTAAGCCCAAACCTTTAAAAGCTCCATTCCTCTTCTGAACAGCAACATATTCTGCAAAGAGTGCCTTGCTGACCTGAGTTCACAAATTTAATCCATACATTCCACTAAATTAGAGAGAATTATGTGCAGTAGGTAGAATAGTATCTTATGATGATTAAAATTGATCTGCACATGTTATGGGCCAAGGTCAGTTATGCATTTGCATGATTGACTTGAACTAAAAAATGCAAACAAAATAAAACAGTGCCTCATTAATATAGCAGATCTAATTTCTCAGTTCTGTTTTTCAATGCTTTCATTTTGTTCAGGTCATTTTGCAGGAAAATTCATCTGACTTGCAACAAAAATGTTGTTTGCAAATAAAATTGAACAAAGCAAAACCACATAACTTACCTGCTGCATCAGAACATTATTGTCCCCCTCAAAAGTGGATTGCACATCATATTCACCTTTCAGATGACCAATTCGGTTTTCAGTCTTATATCCTTGTCCTCCACAAGCTTCACGACATTCCTAAAACACAGAACAATTGAACCTCAGTAATGCTGCTTGTTGTTACCATATAATCTGTGATTTCAGTTGCTAACCTGAAGTATTCTCATGTTATTCCATGAGAGAATGGCCTTGAATGCACTTGAGATAACATGAATTTTTTTGTTTGACTCAGGTGTCCTCTTCACATAAAGCATTTTCAGGTAATTTGCTGCAAAACTCCCTGCATAGCTGCAGGATAGAAAAAGTAATTTATAAGAGAAGTAAACTACTGAGCAGCAAGAACATTATTTACTGGGTTCATCACTTTCCCAAGCAATTTCGAATTTAAGTCAAGTGACTTTCTTAGGCTCAGATACAAACATCCAAGACCAGATCTGGTGTGGAATATGGATGGTGTAAAAAAAATATAAAAAAAAACTCAAATGCCAATTCAGTTTTGCAAGATTGACCTAGATTGGGTGCCTAGTATTGCATTAGATGTCTGGTTGATCAAATACATATAATATCTTAGATATCTGTATCATGTATCCATGATAAATTTTCATTGTGTCCAAAATTCAACATAGCAACCATTAATTGCAGGATGTGAAGTTATAAACCTAAAAATTCCAAGTTCAGCATGGATGGTTGCTTCGAAATCATGTCAACAGAATAAACACAGTCATTAAAAGCTACACTGTAGGCTGCAATGCAGTTTTCCTCAAATTTGCACTTAGAGAACACAACATAAATTATAATTTTTTTCCCAAAAGAATTAATTATTATCTTATTTTTTTAACAAGCACTGAATTGGAAGTGCAAACAGAATTTGGGTGTCAAAATGGCATAAGAATATGAATTTAAAATAATCCACTGCAGGCATACTCACGTCCTTGCAAGGAGAGGCAACAATCGCCGTTGATGACTTGGATAATCAAGCAACAAAACTTCAGGTCCTTTTGGTGTGAGCGAGAAGGCCCGCCTTGTCAATGCATACCTTATTGCAATAGCTAAACTAATCTGTTGAGAGATGGAGAGGACAATGACACATTATAATGAATTTGTGTTTCATATCAGTGACCTGCTTCCAAAACATCTCAAATTACACAAAAAAAGTTCCTCTCTCTCTCTTTTTTCAGTTTTTCTTTTTTTTTTTTTTTGTTTTAAAAAGGAACAAGATCTTAAAAAATGAAACCTTTGATTGATCAACTGCAGCGGCTGCAATATTAACACGACCACTAGTCAAAGGGGCAAGAAATGCAGCAAATCTCTAAATAAAAGAGACAATCATGTGAGGCCCACTGAAATACAAAAATCCTGTCACTGTGTAAATCAAATGAGTATTATTCAGCAGAAAGATACTTACCTGATCTGGATCCTTAATTGCACTTATATATTGTCCATCAGGTGAAACATCTGCAACTGAATTCAACAAGTTCTCTCTGGGAACTCTGACATTGTCAAACCTAAAATTATATTTCCAACCTTTTGGATTAGATTGATATAATATCATGAATTACTGAATAAAGATGATATAAAAGTTACAAAAAATTTACCATATTCGACCATTGTCAACACCATTTAGACCAATTTTATGACCACAATCAGCAATGCGTATGTTCGGGCATGTATTACCATTAGTGTCCCTGATCTGTACTATAAATGCATGGACCCCCTGGTTGGTTCCATTGATAACTAGCTGTGAAAAGACAATTGTATGTGTGGCATGCTGAAAATGGTACGAGCATACTATGTCAGCATAGACAAAGCTGAACAAGAAAATATAGAAAAGAAAAAAGAGCAAAGTAAAAGCCACAGCTGCAATGAGTTTAAGGGAAAAAGAAAATAAAGTTTTTTGTTCAGAAGAGAGTTCTTACATTAGCTGCCCCACCAATCCAATACTTCTGAGCTGACTCACAGGGAGTATTGATCACAAACTCTCCTGTGCTAGAATCATATGTGGTGACTGTTTCAATTCCTCGAACCTAGAAAAATAACACAAAAGAAATCAGGAAAGATAAGAAAATAGTTTGACTGCATAAGTTATAACAGATGACTTAATCCCTAGACTACACAATTGACAATGACAACCCTTGCATACATTGCTTCCATGGCCCAGTTCAGTCATTGCAAAGCAACCCTTGATCACATAATTTTCAGTGTCCCTCAGCCACTTGTCATGATGATGCTTTGTGCCAAAAAACTGGATGGCTCCGCCCCTGGAATTGTAATGAAGACAGTTAGTAATGTCAACTTTTCAAAATTTTTGTAATGGTACATTCGAACCACACCAACTAACGGTCACAATTATAGAAATGTTTATCAATAGCATGGAGTATGATTCCAAATATGGCACCTATCCCAACAGATTCCCAATCTAAACTCCAGTGCATCTAGGGGACAAAGCATGTTAATTTTCCATCAGAAAAATTCATAAAAAAATATTTTCGATCAGACAAATTATCAAAAAAAAACAAAAAAATTTCCCATCAGACAAATAACATAGCAGTATAGTCCACATAGATTCAGCACGATATATTTCCTGCGATGAATTAACATTGTGCATACCACAAAAAGAAGTGAACTCCGATCTTAATACCAATGGAGTGATCATAAATCGACAGAACCTCATTGAATGCGAGCTTCCTCAACTCCGCCTCTTCTCCCTCCCCCGTCAACCACCCCTTGAATACCCCCTTCTCCAACAAATACATGATCCTTTTCATAGTCATCTCCCGCTGCTGCTCCATGGATTGGTTATAATCCGGCCCCACAAACACCCGACCTCCCCTCTCCCTAGGGTTGAAAAGCTTGCTCTGCATCATCAACCCGAACAGCCAATCGCGATCCTCAATATTGTCCGCGACGAGCAGCCTCCGCATCTCCTTGACGTCGAATGCATAATTCTCCCTGAGTTCCGGCGGCGTGTAGTTTACGCATGCGTTTGGGAAAAGACAAGGATTCAGTGGAGATGAAATGGAGGATTGGAGTAGGTGATTGGAGAGAATTTTAGTTCTCTGAAGAGCTCGATCCATTGATTGGGCGAAATTAGGGTTTCAATTGAGCTGTGGTCGAATGCAGTAAAGAAAAATTGGAATTGGAGTTGTAGATTTTGTGGAGGATTTGCAGAAGGTAAACGGGGAGATGGAATGTAGAACGTAGAAATGGAAATTTTGGAACACGATATAAAGGCACGTCCCTGAAGTGAAGTTTAGATATACTCGCGGTGTGATTGGAGAGTGAACGGTCATGAGTGAGGAGCCATATTTGGTAGGTGAGAACGTGATGAAAAACATAATTTTTCCCATCTTGGTGCCCATTGGGTTGATACTGTACATTAATTACCTTAATTTATGCTAAAATTTAAATATTTATTAAAAAAAATTGTAATATTATTCCTCTCATAAAATTTCTTTTGTTCAAAAAAAATCAAAAAAATAATTATAAAAAGACGTTATCAGTGACATCATCAAATAGTAATGGATAACTTGTGGGTTTTTTAAATTAATGAATATATTTGTTATAATATATTTGTGGTGGATAAATAAAATTTGAATTTTAATTTATTAATTATTTAATTAAATTTATATATTTAATAATATTATTAAATTGAACATAAATTTTTATATTTTTTTCTAAAAAAATAAAATAAGACATCCTAACATTTCCTATCAAAAAAAAAAAAAAAAGACATCCTAACACTAATAATAATCATATGATATATTTCATAAAATTAAGATACATCATATTTCATTAATTATGATCAGACATTCTAACATTAATAACAAAAAAAATACTCTTAACATATGTTTTTAATTTGTACCTTTTGAGAACAAGTTAGAAAAGTCTGTAATTTTATTGAAAAATATAAAATTTGTTTTAATAGTATATTTACATTGAAGGAGGAAAAGAGAAGAAAATTTTATTTTATTATTCAAAAAATTAGAAAGGAAAGAAAAAAAAA